TGTATTAGAATCTTGAACAGTTTGAGGTAGGAATCAAACTCAATTATCTATTTCCCTCCATTATAAAATAGCAATTAAACAACTTTAACCCTACTTATACCCCTACGGCTATCTATTAAAAACTCTTGAATTTATTATGATAACTAATTTGGTGTGGTTTCTCTATAGCATTATTAATTGGTTCTGAAGATGTGTAGTGTGATGTTTTAACACAGTAACATTATCAACAAGCATCAACCATGTAAACGAGAATGTCTCATGAAAAATATAACTTTATTCAGGATGCATAGAAAATAAATGAGAAGGTAAGAAAGATTATTTAATTGAACCAAGTTTACCCCATCGGTGGGTAGGTTTGCCTTCCAGGTTAAAAAAGTCATTATTTTTTAATTTCATTCCGTTTGTGTTTATTTTTCATCATAGAAACATCATTGTTTTAAAAAAAATCATAAATGATTTGATTTTCCACGTCTCGGCTTCACTGTATTTTGGTACTGAACTTTCCAAAATATTTTCATATTCGTGCTTTGAGCTCTCAAAGCTATGAGGCAGGGGAACAACACATATGTTTTAAAACTCCAAGTGGTCTTAGATCAACATGGTTCAGAAGTTCTTACCATAAGATATATGTAGTATTATTGTTTTGCAGGAGTGGTATAAGGCGGTGCTTTGAACTCACCTGAATTTTGATAATACAGTTGCCATGGTACTAAAACATCCAACTCTTTCTTTTTAAACTTTTGTTGAAAATGAAGTGTTTTTATTCTTTTACCCTTTGGGATGATGATAAAGTTTTTTTCGAATGGGAAAATTTGTACATTTTATTAAGAAAGCAACAATAATGCTTAATACAACATGGCCAAAAAGGGTAAATCTATGGGATGAGAAATGCAGTAATTTTTTAGGGTGTCGGAATTGCTATTGTATAAGTGAAATGAGCTCGGGCTCGACCTAGTATGAACTCGGCCTCATCCATGCTCTTGGATTCATCGATTCTCTCTCGCTCCTCCTTGCTTTCCTGGAGATAATAAGTCCCCCATTCCTTAAAGCGAGTGAAGACGACATGAGGAGTAAACATTCATAATTTAGTTGTGCTTAGTTCTCGGAAATATTAGTGATGCTAAGACAAGATGATTCATATGTGCTGAACAAGCTTGGCCTATTTAACATCGAATGTTGAAGCTGGTTTGAGATCAATTATATATTAAGGACTTGAAAGCTTGGTCCCCCTCCTGCCTTCTTTTTGACCAAAAGAAAAGCTTTCTTCGTCGGACATGAGCTGGAGCCAATAAGAGAATAGAGAACAAATGTTGACTGAAGCATCAACTTTCTTTTCTTCGGCGTAACAAATGCACACTAATCAATAATAAAAAATAATAACGATATAACTCAACTCATTGCTTGGACTGTGTAGTTCGAAATTGATATTCGGGATGGCTAGCCCCCGAGCTCAAAGTGATACTATATCAATTATATTTTTTATTATGATTTTATAATGTCTTTTTATCAAATTTGTTTTTGGAATTGAGCTGAAATTGAGGGCTGGTTGGGCTGATTAACGTAAATGATGTAGTTGGGCCTTTACTCTTTATTGGGCAGCTCCAAAAAAGAAGACCTAGTTGACGAGAAGCCACCTCTCACGTTTGGCGAGTGCGCAGCAACCATCCCAAGTAGCATGCCACTACTGTAGCTCATCCAGGGGAGCAACCAGCAACGACTAAGGGTGGTGAAGGCACAACTCTCTCGGACAGCACCAGCGCAAAGCTTTCTCAGACGGAGACTGGAACCTTCTTGAGGCAGAGACCAGAACTTTCCTCAGACGAACCCAGCGGTAGAGAAGAAACGACCCGGAGCGAGGTTGTTGGGACTCAGGCGATCGGCACCAGGCCACCAACGAAGCTTCCTCGGGCACTACCAATACGCTCTTCAAGTTGAGTCATAGGGGCGCACTGCTTTACGATTTTTACCCCTGGAGCTCTCAGCGGCCATTAATGGTGGACCTCTGAGGCTAACTCCAGCATCCAAAGAGCTATGGACATGATAGTGGTGGCCCAAGCTCCAACCGTCGAGCCGCGGTGGTGAGATATGAAGACTGTGTAGGCGGGTTTTGAGCGGACAGCAAGCTTCAAACGATGGTGCACAGTGCAACGTGGATGGCTCTAGCTTGACGACTCCATCTCCGATTGGGGGAATCCAGATTTCAGATTCCGCCTTTGTTGTTGTTTACTTTTTACAGAATAGTTTTGCTCGATTTCTTGTTATTCGAAAGATTTTTTGGTATTTTGGGAGGAATCTCACTTGATTATTGATCAAGCTCTCAATGAAAGCACCAATGATGGAATATAATTCTAGCGAAAAGAGCTTAATCAATCAAATATTCATTGATCGTAGGAAAGAAAGTAATAATAGTATTATTCATACGGAAAGGCCCCCTTTACAAGAGATGTACAAGAGTATTTATAGGCTACAGAAACTGGTATTCTAGTATGAAACTCATACAATAAATTCTATGAATTGCATATTAATTCGAATAGGACTCTTGTAACGTTCTTGCTTTGGGTAGATAACTATGCTGGAATAATAGTCTGCCACGTAAGCCCTATGAATATCCCGGACTCACTAGAACTCCACACAGGCTCGAGGTCTGCAGTCCAGTTTGGCCTAGCTGTGGGTTCCTTTCGTGGGTTGGATCCCTAGTTAGGCCCAACGGCTAATTAATATTAATCCCGTGAAGGGCTGATCCCATTGATGGGCTCATCCCATTGATGAGCTTTGCTTTAATTCAATCTTGAGTCATTGTAATGATCCATGGTACCATCAGGGAGATTTCCCAAAATAGGAGTAATTAGAATTTGGAATTCCAAAATAGGACTACTATATTTTTATTCCCGAAATAAGATTAACATGATATTATTTACTGCGATCTTGTAGGCGTGACTGCCGAATACTTGCAGTATTGTGCATTTAACATGGCGGTACTTATTATAATTAATGACATTATTTTTCAATCATGGCAGTAACAACTCCTATTTCGGGAAGAAAAATATAGTAGTCCTATTTTGGAATTTCAAACCCCATTTACTCCCATTTAGGGCAATTTCCTTTTGGTTCTATAACTTGAGAAATGTTTTAAACACTAAAATGAACGAATTATGTGATTTTAAATCAACAAGATAAAGAAATGATTTTGCTATTTACACATCTTGAAATGTTTATCGATCGTGGTTATATTTTAAGTATTACCTTTCGAGTACTCAATCAAGGAGTGTCTTCAGTTCATCGAGTATAGCTATTAATTAACAGTGAGACGGTTCATTAAAAATTCTTACTATTAATCAAATATAAAACACAATCATATAGCGACTTGATAGTATCATTAGAATGCTTTTACTTGGACTATTTTCAGTCCCAGACCAGATAAGATCAGACCAGGTTTGGACAATTATAAAACACACAAAAATCGGACATCTACCAGAGCAGACTAGATTAAACCAATTCAGACTAGACCAGATTAGATCAAAAAAATTCAGATCAATTAAAAACATCTTTAATCTCTTAGCTTATTGATGAAATCAATTGAGGTGTATAATCTCAACACAATGGTGTCGGTTTAACCAACGCAATTATTCTCTCTTTATATTACTAACCATGAGATCATGCATTAATAACTGGAAGTTACTTGTGAAACCATCAATGATTAACCACATGTTCATTGATCGTTTATAGTAGTGATTAATGTTAGAGCGTTAACCGATCGTCACTCAGCAACACCTCAACATTAATATAGAGATAGGATCAGCGAAGATAACAAAACCAAAATAAAGAAGTTTAGCTACTCATTTAAAGTCTAAAATGAGTTTAAGTATATGGATAATGGATATGTAAAATGGGAAGCGAAGAGGGGTTTTTCTCGAGTTTTGGGATTATTGGGTATTTAGGATACCCAACCTAGTATCTTTGACTGTACCTACCAAAGTGTTGGAATTTAATCACACCCGACTGTATTGTCCGTATATATCAGTATATCTGACCGGGTATATGACCAAATTTGAATTTCCCACATTCTTTTGCTTTGCTTGATCTTGTAAGATCTCCGGGTGCAATCATACCTGACCGAGTGTTGATTATATCCGATCATGTGTGACACCAAATCACATTTCTTGCATTATATTTTGCTCCCTTACACCTTTCTTTGATCTTGTATCATCCCTTCTGTGATTGACATATTCTTGCTCAGGATCATTCTAAAGTTACTAAATTACAATACACTAGAAAAATAAAAGGTTGCATTCTAAGAGCCCGTTTGGTAGCACGAAAATCGGCTGATTCGACCGATTCTGCTGAAATTTTAGAAATCCTGGCTGTATTGGCTGATTATGCTGATTTAAGAAAAAAATAATTTTAAAATATATTTTATTAATAAAATAAAGAAAAAATATATGTAAAAATAGCTAAAATTGTCATCTACAATAACTTCAGACAATACACTCAGAAAAAGTAACTTCAACCTTACTTTTTCTGTTTATTACACAATTGAGTGCGCGAAAACAAAAATTACGTGTTTGGTGAAAAAGTTGATTGATAAGTCTGATAAGCCGAAAAACAGTCTTGTCAAACGGTTTCTAAATGGGCAATTACTACAATGACACACCATAAAAGCTACTTAAAAAGTTAAAATACGCTATCAGCATAGAGACTATTGCAGGAAGGGAGCCGCCACCGCTGTCCCAACTGATGAATACAAAAACATATGAGCATTCCATGCAAAAAAGTTCTTGATCAATGATTCAAAACCTAAAGTCGGTAAAAGTTTAAGACATCCATTAGCCAGCGTGCAAACAAATACTAGTAAACGAAACTATGGATGGAGTGAAGGGTGTTACTAATTGAAATTCTTAAAAATATGAAATTGAATACAGTACTTATTTATTTCCTAAACGAGCAATCTCATCTCAAAAACCTACCATCATTATTCTTTAACAAATAATGATAACGACTAACCTCAAATGAATAATTTTATTTTAGAAGAAGAAATATAAAAATTAAGAAGGGTTGGGCGTCTCTAAAAAGAATGCCCACCAAAAAAGGGCGCATGCCCCAACTATACTAATACTAGTATAAGTGAAGGAAATACTAGTGTCAAATATAGCTCACATAGTCACATATGCTCTCAATATACATACATACAATACCCTTAATGGACTAGTGCTGAAGAGTTGCATAAGACACAAGTGTGAGACATCAAACGCTGAACAATACTCCCTTCCTCAATATCCAACCTCCTACTCTGCTTGTTCCACAGATGAACAGCCAAACTCCCAATCCTAATCTGCCCGAGATTGTTATCTAACCATTCGAGATGCGTCGTGTTTCTCGGCCCTTCGAATAAACTCCTGATTCTCCCCCAACCCACCGGATAAAACGCCACCGGGGGCAAAACCGTCAAATTCTTTCTATTCTCATCATCGTCGTCGTCATCGTCATCACTTTCACTCACCCTTGACACCACCCTTGAGACCAAATAAGGCCCGTTGTGTCCCCATTTGTTGCCATCAAACGTAAGTGCAAATTCTTCTATGAATTTGTAGACCAGAGGATGACCCTTGTTGAAAATCATCACAGCATTGTTCAATCTGCTCCATTTTCTTGTCTCCGGATTCATTGTCTGAGCTCCAATCACATTTCTCAGCTTTGAGAAACTCTTTAGTATTATTACGTCTGTGTCTATATAAACCCCACCGAATTTGTACAGCAGGCCGAGTCTAAGGAGATTAGAGAGGTTTTGCCCAATGGAAACCTCCCCTGGATCTATGCTTCCTCTCAACAATCTGTCAACCCATGAGTGTGCAGAAGTGTTCTTGAAGAGGTAGTTGAAATCTGGGGTGATCGCAGTTATTTTTAGTCCTTTTTTCAAGAAAGGGCTTAAGATGGTTTTGGTTCCCTCGACTGAATCGATTGAGTTTGACACTAAGACCAGACATCCTCTGGGATGTGCTCTGAACAAGCTCTCGATGGCCGACATTTCTCTGATGCTAAAAGACTCGACTGAAGATATCCACGTCATGAAGAACCTTAATTTACACGAATTCTCCTTGAAGAATCCCTTCACTCTCGTTGAGAACTGCCGCATCCCCGCTTCAGAAACCATCGTTTTGATGATCAAAGATTTCTGCTTTTTCCTCCTCATTATCTGCCGGGTCATGATCTTCGGCTCCGCCGAGACGTTCTTGAAAGCCACCAAGATTCGATTTTTCCGTGAAAGGTGGAAGTGGGTGTCCGGCTTCATCGCGTACATCTGCGAAGATGATGACGGGTTCTTCAGGGAGGCGGAGGCAGAGACCTGCTGCAGGTATCTTGATTTACCGGTGACATTTTCAGGCGAAAAGGTGGCAGCCTCCGGTGAGGATTTGAGCAGGAAAGGGAGACGGACTGAGAATATGGTCGCACCGTTGCATGTCAAAAGTATAATCAGAAGCAGAGAGAGAAAAGCATACGACAAAGTCTTCCTTTCCGGCGAAGGCGTGGCTACAATAATGCAATTATTAACAAACCCCGTGAATATTTCTGGCATTATCAACTTGCAGGGCTTTTTTTGAGTTGAAGGTTGGATGAAGAGGATATTATGAAATATATTCTGAAATAGTATGAAAAAAGTAGATCGAGTTTGGAGCTTTAGTTTTAAAAAACTTCTGAGTTTAATATATACAAGAATATGTAGTGTGAAAATAGTACTCGTAATAGTAATCTGTAAATCGAGAGAAGAGAGAGATTAAGATCAGAGAAGAAACCTGAGCTCTTAAACATGGCCGGTGGATCATGCAGAAGAGAGCTTCCAGTCTGTTGCAAACATCCACTGACTGATGCAAATTTTCAGGAACAAATCATACGTACGTACGTTCTACGTTGTATTGGTTGAGACTTGAGTCCTATTTGAATAGTAATACAATTCCTTATTATTGCCCCGTTGGTGAAATTTTATTAGGACACTAATATGTTACGAAGTAATGAAGTAATGAGAGAAATCGTACATTTGTACCTCAACATTCATATTGCTTATGGAAATGATAAAACTGTGAAATAATGAGAGAAATTGTACCTCAACAATCCTATTTCTCCGAATCTCTCCCCTGACCCGTCTTCTCCACCGCTGCAGCCACTTTATAGCAGTGACCACCTCCGTCGCGCTCATACCTTCTGGCCATGGCGTGTGACGATAGACCTCCATGGCCTCCACAAATTTGACTTTTGTCCCTCATCGATCGTGACGGTCTTTTGGATATGGCGAGCGATGAGCGGCGGCGTGCCCTTTGGCGATAGTGTACGACTGTATGTGGAGCATTCTTGGCCATGGCTCACAGATCGGACTTTTGTCCCTCCTGGTGATGGCCTTCTAGCTATGGTGAGCTATAGCTAGAAATTGATCCGATTAAAAACATTGTCAATAAGGATGGATGACATAATTTAACTTTACTACGTACGGAGTATCACATTTTCTTTAACAGTGCTATTGGAGTACAAAGAAAGAGACCATGTTCAGTAAGGGCGATGATATAAACAAATTTAAAAGTAAGGTTATTAGGTTTGTTAGTCGAACATCATGACATTTTAATTGAGCATCAAACCTTTGATATTGAGATGAAAATCAAAATTTCTGGTGAATGAGCATTAATAAACTTTTAATGAGCATCAGAACTATTATGTTGAGTATTATGAGTCTAATATTCAGAATCATGATCTCTCCTTCATAACTTTTAATTCACTTTCTTTTTGTTCTTTTTTCTTATATAAAAACTTATTAAATTATACTTATAATTAACTCCTATGAATTTCAAGACGCGAATCTAATGTAAAATAGTACTTAAAAAATGCATTGATATGACACTTAGAAAATGAGCATAAGATCAGTACCACATGAGCATACATAACATACAAAATGTTCAATGATATGAAAATCGTAAACTTTGTTAGTTTGACATAATGACATTTTCATTGAGCATCAAACCTCCTCTATTGAGATGAAAATCACAATTTCTGTTAAATGAGCATTAATGAACTTTTAATGTGCATCGACCTATTATGAGCATTAAAATACTTCCAATGAGCATCGGATTTATTCGGTTGAGTACTAGGAACCTAACAATGTGAATCTAATGTCATATGCAACTTTTAAAATTTGCATGGATATGACATTTAAAAAATGAGCATAATATGAGTACAAATTGAACAAACGTAACTTACAAAATGAGTATTGATATGAAAATCATAAATTTTTTAGTTGAAGTTCAAGACATTTTTATTGAGCATCAAACCTTTTTTATTGAGTATTGAAAACTTCCAATTGAGTATCATGGTTTGTGCTCCATTACAATTTTTCTATTGACACATTAAAGCCAACATTACATGGCTAAATGGTTAAAAGGAATTAATGAAATAATAAATGGTTAAAAAAATGAAACAAAATTACAATTTGGTAAAGTAAAATATAAAAAGAACAGCAAGACAAAAAGGAAATACAACAACAGCGAATAAACAAAAGATGGAAGAAAAAACAGAGCATTTACAGATGAGAAGGAGAACCGAGAGAAAAACTCCACAATTTACACTTTCTTGAGAGCCATGGAACATCAATCTATCTTTAGCGCACCTGGGATATTGAATCCGGCTACCTTCAGGAGAAGATTACCGAATGAGTTTTGTCCTTTGCGCTTCCCAAGATAGGGAGAAGAGTGGAAGGAAGAGGACAGAGTCCTGATCCCCTGTCGTGAATGGAGGTTTCTAAACCTTGCTTCGACAAGAGAAAAGAAGAAGACGACAGCGTGCATGAAGAACAGAGCATCCACGGAAAAAAGAAGATTGGAGCATCGGGGGAGCATTGGCATATTAATTACCCTCAAACTTGCTACTAATTGCAAAAAAAAACAGAATGTACATGTACACCCGGATGTACGATATAAATTGCGGGCCATGCCCCCCCATTTTTTATTCTTTCCTAAGTAGTATTAATATAATATTTACCAAATAAAATTGTGAAAGACTAGTTACCAAATAATACTAATATTATTTGCTATCAATTAATATTATACGGAGTATAAGTAATAATTACTTGATATAAAAGCCAAACCTCTAGTGAAATTTATTAATATGAAATTATTAACAAATATATAAATCATGTGAAAAAATCATAAACTAAGTTTTAATTGACCTGCAATTAATTTGAATATTATACTAATATTTATATTTTATAGAAAGATTTGCATTTTTAATCTCGTAACCGTCGGCTATGATCGTTACTAGTCGTGCAATTGTACTCTCTTGTAATTTTAGTCTTGTAACTAATATAATTATGCAATTTTAGAACGTGTCAACTACAAAGTACACTTTATGATTCAAAATTCGAGGTTGCAGCACATTTTCCAGTACTTTTTGTCCATCTAGTTATATTTTTATATTTGTATTATACTCCTTCCGGTTCTTATTAAAGTTCTCACTTTCCTTTTTGGGATGTCCTTTATTTAAATTCACACTTCCATTTTAGGAAACAAAACAGTGCCAAACAGTGCCAAACAGTGTTCAAACAATGCACTGCACAATAAATTCAAATTCATTTTCTTAATATGTGTGAAGTCAAACTGGGAACTTAAATAAGAACCGGAGGAAGTATTTTTGTATTATATTGTGGCCTCCCTTGCTCTCAAGTCTCTCTCCGCCCCTCATTCAATGTTTTTTGATCATTTAAACAGTCTGGTTCCCGATTTCGATAAACTTCTAATTTCGTTTAAAATATGTTTTTTCAAGTTTCTAAGTTTTTAAGAGTTGTCCTGCTTCGTTTGGATTTTAAGACCCGCCCGAACCTTTATTAATCGACCAGTCGACCACCCCTAGAACATACCGTGTCCCTGTGAACCTCTCTCACCCTCCTTCTTCAGGAATAAATGGATAAAATAGAGCACAAGTTCGTAGAGGTCAACGGGCTAAAAATCCACATAGCTGAGATCGGAAGTGGGTCGGATCAAGTGGTGTTGTTTTTGCACGGGTTCCCTGAGATATGGTACTCGTGGCGGCACCAGATGGTGGCGGTGGCCAAAGCCGGGTTCAGAGCCATTTCGCTCGATTACAGAGGCTATGGGCTTTCGGATCAACCCCTCCAACCCGAGAACACATCGTATCTTGACCTTGTCAATGACCTTGTGGCCCTCCTTGACGCTCTTACTGTTCCCAATCATAAAAAGGTCCCATTTTTTCTCGACCATTTCTTTCGTATCTGTTTCTTCTCCCCATCGAACCATGTTCCTTTCCTTCTAGAAACTAGAAATATGAAATGCACATATATTTTGTAACATACACACACTTTTTTTAAAGAACACATATGTATATTATTTTGTTGGTGTGCAGATATTAAGTAAATTGGTGAACATTGAAGAAAATGGTATAAGATTTTTTAAGTATTATTGAATAAAATATGGAAAATACGGAGCATGATTAAAATTATCATTTAATAGACCATTATAATCACTATGATATTAGTCTATCATATGTAAATTAAATTTAATCGTGATCACTAAAATTATTTTATAGTCACTTGTATTTATATTTTAATCATATATATGCATCATTTATTTTAATGTAATAGTATTATGGATAATAATAATAATAGTTATAATAATAGTAACACTGCAAGTCTGCAATACTCCGTAATAATAGCAAGATCCCGTGATTTTATATTAATAGTAACATGTAAATGAATAATGATAACATAATAATGATGGTGATGAATGATATGGATGGATAGATGGTGGTGAATTGGTGAAGATAGTAACAATAGAAATTAAAGAACCTACGGTTGTATAATACTACGTATACAATATTAACAATAGAAATTGCGTTGAATAGGAGTAATATGACAAGTTTGAAAAAAATGGCATGTTTAAAAGTCTAGTAAAGCAAAATTTGGCAGAAATTTACTCCTATTCAGGGAATAAAAAACGTGTTTGGAATTTCAAAACGTTTTTACTAATATTTAGGGAATTCTCTCCAATCTCCATTAACAATAATAACCATAATGATGATGGTAACCATACTAATAGATGATGATGATGCAGATGATGTCGATGATTATAATAATAATACATCATGACTGTATTTTTATACAACAACACTTCCTAACAGATCTTTATACAACATACAACAATAACAACATCGATCATGTCTGGATTTTTATGATTTGATCTAAATCTTTTCCATCTGACTTTATTTAACTCATTTGATCTGAATAAAATTAAAATAAGCAATACGTTAATAGGTTAAGGCGAACATAATTCGGCTCTGTTTGAGTGTAAGGCTGAATTTTCACAAGTATCTCAGATTCTCAGTCACTTATTTGCCTACAATGAATGTTACCAAAGGATTATCCTTTACAAAAAGAGGTGTTTTCAAAAATATTACTGAAATAAAACTCGTTTACAAATATATGACTAAAAGTTACTATAGTATAGAGTTTAGACACCTAAGTGTAAAAATTCAACATAATTTATGGGTTTAATGCACCAAACTCCCATGTGATACGGAAATTCAGCGCATTAGTCCACTGTGATTTAAAAAATGCGTCAAACCTTCTTGTGTTTTAATTAATTATGTGCAAAATCCCTTCTATGAACAAATTCAATTGTCAAATAAAAGAAAAATGATTAACATTTTTGTATGTTTTAGAGATTTTGACATATTTACTTGCATATTCAATCAGAATTTTAGGAAAAGTGATTTCCAAATCGTTAAATTTATTCATAAAAGGGGTTCTGCGCATGATTAATTAAAACACAAGGGAGTTTGACGCTTTTTCAAATCACATGGGGCTAATGCGCTGAATTTCTATATCACGAGGGGGTTTGGTGCATTAAACCCCATAAATTACTTTGACTAAAGGTAATATTATAGTCACTAAACTTGATCACATTTTTGTAAATAATCTTTATTATAGTCATAAATATATAATTATTTCAAACATTTATAATTCCACATTCAAATAATCTTTCTTAGAAAAATTCAGTGTATTCAAACATTCATAGCATATAACTCTTGCTAAATGAATGCAGAATGTATAAGAACCTGTCTATATGATTCTTTTTTATCTGGCTTCTTACCAGACTTGTCTTACAAGAACATAGATGTCTATTCAGTTTTTTCTGATAGGTAAAGATTTTGGATCGTTTGTTCTGTCATACTTCTCCCTTCTCCATGAGGAGAGAGTAGCCGGGTGTGTTACATTGGATGTTCCTTTCATAATCCCACAAGCATCTGCATTTACTAATAAACTGCCTGAAGGCTTCTATGTTTCAAGATGGAAGGCAAGTATGTTTTCTTTTTCCTCCTGTCTATTATTGGAAAAGTCATATTCAGAAGCCGTCAACTAATGTGTTTTAAGGAGCCGGGGCGAGCTGAATCTGACTTTGGTCGCTTTGATGCTAAAACCGTTGTGAGGAACGTGTACATCCTTTTCTCCCGAAGCGAAATACCAATAGCAAATGAGAAAGAGGAGATCATGGACATGGTGGACTCATCCACTCCTCTACCACCTTGGTTTACTGAACAAGATCTAGCTATTTATGGAGATCTGTATGACAAGTCCGGGTTTCGAACAGCATTGAAGCTTCCTTACCGGTAATGTGATTCAGCCATTGATTCAATATACCCTTACAAATGAGGGTCATAATACACTTTTGCAACTACCATTTAGCACCTGAATTTGTTAAACCATCTTACATTAGTGATTAGTCAAATATAGAAATATATCCAAACACATGTATCATTTTAATTTCTTCCTATAAAGTTGGCATTTTGGAATTCCTTTTAAAACATGCTTTTGGAGAACCTGCCTTAATGATATTAACCTTTTCTTGAAATAGGTTAAGTGAAATATGAACCTTTTCTTGTAGGTTACTTGGTAATGAACAGATTGACCTGCCGTCTAACCCACAAATTAAAGTTCCAGCGTTATTCATTGCGGGGCAGAAGGATTACATTATGAAATGCCCGGGAATGGAAGAGTACATAAAGAGTGGGATGTTGAAAGCTTTTGTGCCCAATGTGGATATAGCCTATATTCCTGAAGGGTGCCATTTTCTTCAAGAGCAATTCCCGGATGAGGTTAATGAACTTATCCTCAACTTTCTCCACACTCACAAGCAATCTATGATCGCACCTGACAGTGATATGCTTCCTCCCCATCAGGACTGATTAATGTTTAGTTCAACATGAAGAATATGCTTTGTCCAATTATCCTTAGAAAAGATCTGTACCAATATTCTTGTGATGATGGTATTTTATGATGCTTATAATATCAGGTTACTTTTTTAATTTTACGTTCTAAAGGAGAATAATTTTTTAAAAAGTGGAGCATATACTCCATGGACATGCTAATTGAACATTATATTAATCAAGATGTTCATGAGTTGTGTATAAAATAATAAAAATTAGTACTATCTCTATTCCGGCTCAAACTTTTCATTGAAAAATGGTTTGATTATTTAGATCATAATTAAATAAAATTATTTGAGTGGCAAGTTCTCTGTGTTGCTATCGACGGTTAGTGGGTGAAGTTCAATCGGACGGGTGGATACTGGATAGGTTCATAGGTTGGGCGAATGTATGGAATTGGAAGGTACAACTAAAAATAAAATCTTTTATCCACCAACTTTGTACGGATTGTTTGCCATCTATGAAGAACCTCCCAAGAAGGAGGGTGGAGTACCCATAGATTTTTTTAATTAAAACACACCCTGATTTACATAATACTACCTTCGTTCTTAAATAAATGCAACACTTTGACTTTTACACTATTCACATGTTCTACTTTGACTACATTTTATTTATTAATGTAATAATATTATTTTATGAAAAAATATTGTTAAACTTGTCTCATTGTAAATTTTCATAATCTAATTTTTTTAATTTTTTTACTAATACAAAATCATTATATTAATGGTCAAAGTTGTGTCTCGGCAAATGTGAAATGTTGACCGTTGTATTTATTTAAGAACGGAGGAAGTACTCCGTAAAATTTACACTCAAGTATGTTGAGCTTAACATAGAACAAATACTACATACAATATGTTAGAAAGCTTTCCCAAAAGAACCACGAAAATGAAAAATAAATTTTAATTTACTTTAATCTCGCACACAACTAAATATAAGGACGACAAACGTAAAATGTGAATGTTGGTGAAGATGACTTTGGAAGCATGAAGGATATAGGAGTGCTTCAGTTCGTCAACCCTTCTATAGATGAGTCAGAATTGAAGGTTGGCTTTTTGGAATATGTAAACATGTATCAAAACTTTTAGTTTTTTATTTGTGTATTACAGAGTATTTTCTATCTCCATCATCCAAGAACTTTGAGTACTTGCACTTTTAATTTCAAAACTGTTGTTGTTGGACTTGTTTCTCATTTTAAACTAATGATTATTAACTATGTTTACTATATTATTGATTATTCATTATATGATTATTGACTATATTTATATGTCGTGATGCACTGGTGTATATGAGACAAAGTATGATTTTTTTATTATCTTGATAATGTGAAATGTTTCAAAGCTATTAATGAGCAGAGGTTAGAGGATAATATATGTATATATTTTCAAAAAATTTAATATTTATAAGTGCACCCCAATAATTTGTAATATTTATAAATACACCTCAATAATTTTTAATATCTATAAATGTACCGCTGCATTCGTATCCTACATTTTTATTTTGTCGTATTCCCATACTCGTTTCCATGTTTCGCCGCATCTGTATACATGCAACTACCTCCTTCCCCCTAATGTTGAGATAGAAGAGAGTGATATCGTTTTTTAAGAAAAGTAGAATTATATGTTTGATAATGAGTTAGAGTCACACAAATGTTAAAAAATATGGTATGCGACAATAATAGAGGAACATCTAAAAATGAAAAAAATTGAACAATTATAGGGGACCAGAGGAGTATAAAATACTAGTACTCCGTACTACATTTGTCCCCCCTAATATTGAGACGGAAGAGAGTGATATGGTTTTATGAAAAGTGAAATTATATGGTAGATCATTAGTTGATAAAATGAGAATAAAGTAAGAATCAATTTGAGCCACACAAATATTACCAATTTTAATGATACGAAACAATTTAAGTGAGACGGACGGAAAAGAAACCAATTATAGTGAGACGAGGGAGCCGTGGTTTTTAACTACTCCCTCCGTCCCTAAATAAAAGCATATGTTTCCTTTTCGGGTCGTCCCTAAATAAAAGTTCCCTTTCCCTTTTTGGCAAACAAAACAGTGCAAAACAGTGTCAAACAGTGCCAAACAGTCTCCAAACAGTGCCAAACAGTACCAACCAAACCCACTTTCTTAAGATGTGTGTAAAATAAATGGATACTTTTATATAGGGACGGAGGGAGGGAGTATTTAGAAATAAATAAATCAGTTGATAATTTAAATAAATAATGAGAACATAGCATTTGTGAGCAGTGAGCCCCTCTTTATCACTTATCAGTCTCTAAATCTTGAGGAAAGAAATGGATGAAATAGAGCACAAGTTCGTAGAAGTCAACGGGCTAAAAATCCACATAGCCGAGGCCGGAAGTGGGTCGGATCAAGTGGTGTTGTTTTTGCACGGGTTCCCTGAGATATGGTACTCGTGGCGGCACCAGATGGTTGCGGTGGCCAAAGCCGGGTACAGAGCCATTTCGCTCGATTACAGAGGCTATGGGCTCTCGGATCCACCCCTCCAGCCTGAGAACACCTCCTTCCTTGACCTTGTCAATGACCTCGCCGCTCTTCTTCATGCTCTTGCTATTCCGAATGATAATAAGGTCCCCTTTTCTTCTTCTAAAAATGTGAAATTATTGATTTGTGAAAGTGTTTCTCTGTGCAGGTTATGTATATTTTGCTCAATCTTGGTGTTTCTTCTTCTAAAGGATCATTTCACTGTCCAGGCACTTCCTAAAATTATATTGTTGACAGTTTAGCACTTTATTGAACTTAATAGAATAGCTATTTTGATCTTAGCGCAAGCAGTACTTCTTCCTTCTAAAAAGTAAGTAAATGTACATGACTATCAATAAATGATCCTTTCTGATTCACTAGATATCTTTTTTTTTCTGCACACTTTCACAAACTCTTCCTCAAATCTAAGAAAAAGTAAACAAATCCGAGAAGTTATATGAAAAATCTAAAGTAAGAGAATCATAATGAATGAAAGTTTTATTTGAAATCTAGGAAATCAAATGAAAAGTTTTTTGAATTTTTTGTTTACAAAATTCTGAGACTTATTTCACTTTCGAGCTTGACACCTAGACCATACCAAACAAGACCGATCATATAAAATGAATATTATGCAGTACTATAACTTTATATCACTATAACAATAATTATTAATTAATTATATTATTATTATTTTAAATAATACGGATTAGTAGTTAAGAAGTAATGAAATTCATCTATATTATACACATTGAAGTTGTATACTCTGTTCTTATGTTTTTCCCGTTTTCCATTTGGTCTTCCCCAAAATGTTTGTCCACATTTAAACTAGTTATTTTAGGTTGAAATAAATTTGGGTAGCTTTCTTCGCTGCCTTGTGGTCTGATCTGTTTATGTTTGGGCTGGTAAGAGTCTATTTTATATGGCGTTTACTATTGTCTAAATCTGGTCCGTTAGTCATCTATATAATACGGCCTGGTCTGATCTGGTCTAAGTCGGAAATGAGTAATTAAATACTTCCTCCGTCTCACTATGATTGTCCCATTTTTTACTTTTCCGTTTGTACCGCTAAAATTGTCTCGTACCATATATGGTAATATTTGTATGCTTCTAATTCATTTTTACTTTATTTACACTTTATCAATTCAAGACCAACTACCTAACCTTATTTTTCTTAAAAACTGCACTACCTCCTCTTCAGGGCCGTCTTTAGAACTATAGAGGCCCTAGACAAAAGTCTAGACATACGGAGTACTTAATATTTACTTATTATATTCATATGAATTTTAAATGCAATAATTGCAATTTTATGACTACTTTACAAAAACCTACAGAGTACTTAGTATTTACATATTATATTCATATATGATTTTTAAATGAAATATTGCAATTTTATGACTACTTTAAAGATTGTTTACAAAAATGTGATCACTTAAGAGCGATTATAATAGTATTGTTAGTCATTGTAATGTATGTTAAATTATTGCATTTAATGTCGTTGTCACTATAATATAGTAATTTTTAGTCATATTTTTATAAATAAGTTTTATTTTAGTAGTTTTCGGAGAAATCTCTTTCTATATCACTAGTCACAAAAATAATATACGGAGTATCAGATAAGTTGAATAAAAACACACATTATGTTAAGCGAAGTACAATTGAAGTGCAAAATATAATTATATATTTATATTTAATTTATAAAAAACACACATAATATACGGAGTATATTGTAAACCTTACAAGATTAAATTTCTTATTGTTAACATATGCAAAACTCACTAAACATATACTTTTCAATACTTTATTTTTGCTTACATTTTAAAGTACAAAATTGACAAGAACATAAATACAACCAAATCTATCAAAACATTTTCTTCAATAGATGACATAACTTACTTACTTAGTCTATCATCAAACCTGATTGATCATACATAATTTTTAATCGTTCTAAAAAATAACTATATGGGCATAATTCAGACTACGTATAAAATATTTCTTTCATAAGTACTTCAATAATTATATACATTCACATGCCAAAGTATCAATATACCAATGAAGCAAAAATGGAAAACCCAAATAAATTAATAATAACCACACCCAATAACCTTATAGCCTAAATTTAACAAAATTCTAACTATTAATTTTTAGTTGTGACATTTGCCGTTGATTTCATTTGAGAAATCAAATTTAACTAGGATTTAAATTAAATATAAATACATAATAATAATATTTGTTTTTAATTTGGAGGCCCCTAAAAGTTGGGGGCCCTAGACAATTGTCTAGGCTAGATGCCCCCATCACCGGCTCTGCTCCTCTTGTCACAATCTTAGGGGATGGAGGAAGTACATCCTAAATGGCATCTCACATCAAGAATAGTCTAATCCATGCCATTTTCCGTATTTTTAAAATATTGGGTTTTTGTATTAAAATATCAATGACTCATTTAAGAAATGGTTGTCAACGATTATATTCGTTACTGCGGTTATGGTTTGCATAAAAATTATCCGGTGGATAACATAATATTGTTCTAGACTTCTAGGTGACAGGTAGGGAAATTACTCATTTGGCAGTACAATTATATGCACAACAATCCCTCCTCAGACCCATCTATTTCCATCTCCAGGAGTAAGTTGAGTTTGTAGAGATTGGATCATGTTGAATAGATTAATTAAGGAATGTCAGTATACAATAATAACAACATCCAAGTCTTACTCTCAAAAGATTTTGGGATCGGCTAACATGTATGATATCG